GTTATGGTTCTTGACACAGATGTTTATAGACAGAACCCACCCCTCTTCTTTACACACTAACAGGAATCTTATTCCTGAGAATTTTTATTTATAATATCCCAATGGAATGTAATTCCAGATTTTGAATCCTTTATTTCAAAAGTTTGTCTGTTTAGACTTGGCATCTGTTATGTTTTTTTTTAAAACATTGAACATATTTTTCTTAAGTTAATAAAGGAAGCTGATAGAGTCAGCTTTCAATTTTTTAAAGTTAAAAACGAACCTTTAAAGTCATTGATAGAGTAGGCTTTTAATTTTTTAAAGTTAAAAATGATACTTTAAAGTCATTTAACTTAGTTTTTTTCATTTCAATTGTTTGTACACCTGACATAAAAAAAGGTCATCTTAACAAAAATATTTGTTTGCCCCCCTCCCGACCTACTGGCTAAACGTTTTAAAGATAGCTGTCTCAGTACCTTTTTAAACTTGAAGAAACGGTAATTACATGTATCTTCTTTTTTATCCCATCAACAAGAATATTGAAATTTCTGGAATAAGAATTCCTATCTACTTGATTCTTCCGACCCTCATTTTTACCCCGGATTCTCGAGAATTTTTCACTCATGTAGAGACGCCACCGCTTGCTGTTGGAGATAGCTGCAAATATTTTGTACTATATTCGGCACTAACGGTCAAATAGCAGTGATGAATCTCTTTCGTGCCAGCACCTGCTGTGACACAGGACCTAGTATTATACCGTCTCATCCGAGGGAGCGGTCTTAATGTCCCACAGTGAGATACAAACACCCAATACACTGGACAAAATTGCTAACACACCACCTAAAAAAAATTAAAATTCATACCCTAAAAAGTTGTTTTAGTTGTATTTAATATTTAAATAGGCGACCTTAGTTATAAGTTAGACATTTAAAAACCCAAACGAATTAATGGATGCAATGTTAACTGAAGCGTAGCTGTTCTATAGAAATGCTTAAAATCGTGCTCACGCTGTTTGGAAGAATAAATCTTTACTTTCTTTTCTGTGTTCTTATTATTGATACATGCATTCATAAAAACTCACAAATAAACCGACGGGGTATGCGGCGTTTGACCACAGAAGAGCGTGGCAGGGCAGTTAACCGTGCTTGAAATGTATTAGCAGCAAAAGAAAGTTAGGCAAAATACCATGATGGACGTAAGAAAGTACATCTGACCATTTTTATCTTTACAGTGAATGTATATTGACTTTACAAAGTAAACATTTGACCAAAAGAAAAAGAGAGGGGAAAATGCAATGGCAAGAAAAGTTTTAAAGTTCGTTAGTTATTAAAACAAATCAATGATCCTACAAAGAAGACATTTTGATATATACTTAGTAGCTTGGGCAATCATTTGATTAAAATTTTCATCGGAGGTGTGGATAGTGTGTATTCACAGTTCCCAATTTCTAATTTATTTCAATTTTCCAATTCATTTTTCATTAATAAGCATATAAAAAGTCTGTACTTTGTAAACAATAATTAAATGCTCCGAATACTCGGCTATCGTTCGAATAATGCAATCGAATGTTCAGCTAAGGAAAATTAATATTTTGACATCCCTAGTTGCCACACAAGTTTCTCTGAAGCGTTGTTTTAATTTTGTATGAGGGGATAATCTAGATTCTACATGTATACCAAAACAGACTGCGTAAATTAAATAAAAGTATCATTCAAGAATTTTGTATATAATAAAAAATAATACATTTATAGTTTATAAAAGTCAGGGATAGTTGTAAATTGTAAATACAAAGTAACACTTAAAACACTTAGATGATTAATAAAATGATATGAACTTGAAGATCAGGATAGGCCAGGAAAACAGGATTACAAGGATTATGCTTGGTTTCTAATTTGTATATGTCACGACAGCCGTCGTGCTCTGTCCAGTCAGACACAACAAGATTTTTTTCTATGTACAATTTTTTTATCTATATATATAAAATCAATAAAAACAATATTCACAACATATTTTTAAAGATATTATTTACAATAAATAAAACTTAAAGTCTCTTATAATCCTCAATAGCATCCTAGTGTTGGCTCAGAACCACGTCCACGCAGACACGCCCCGTTTCACGACGGACTCCCGCCAACTGGCTCCCAGTGGGTATCCCGGTCTGGTTAAGGTCGTCACCAACACACACATGGCTAGATCATAATTGGATTACATCAGGAACCTTTAAATTAAATAACATTTTTAAGTCACAGGTTACGTATACAAAAAGAAAACTCAAGTCACCATTGACTACAATTTCACTAATGGCACACCATACAAGAGTATCGGTATTTCTAACCAAACACTGTCAAATACAAAGACAACGTTAAGAATATTTACAATATCTTAACAAAAGTGGTTTTAACAATTAAACCCACAACACCGACTTTATAAGCGGCAAAACAAAATAGCCTATGTGCGTACATAACATCGTACATTGCACCAGAAATAGAACAATAAACGCATGAGTAACTCTACCCAGCAAAACCTGTATACGTAAATAGTAACAAAAACATTACTTAACTCAAGTTCTTAAATAGTTCTACGTTTTAAATGTATTACTCAAAAACTTACATATAAAATAAAAAACAAACTTACCCCTTATGGAGAAATGGTTACCGTTGAAAAAAGTATTTATCTACTCATCTTGGACTGTACGTCAAGCTTGTAAATCTATGAAAACGTGGACCCCGGCTACTTGGTCAGCTATGCAGGGATTTAAATACCTCCTAATACAATAGGTCGTAACTGACCAATACCTGCAAAACTTAACTGAGGTTCAATGAGGTAACAAAAGTATAGAGGTCCAGTAAACGGTAAATAAAATAAAAACCATAAACATAATGTAAATACAATTAAAATTAAATATTAATTGTGACAATATCTCCCCAACATAAGAAAGTTCAACGAACTTTTGAAAAAAACACAATCAATAATGGCATAAATTCAACTATACATAATTATATACATATCTAAATTCTGCTTAGACAATCAGCTCCTACATTTTCAGTACCCTTGATGGAAATAATGCGAAACCTGTAGGGTTGCAGAAGTAATGCCTAGCGCATCAGACGTGCATTAGACACTTTGGCTTTGGTAAGATATACTAGTGGTTGATGATCTGTCTCTAGTAGGAATTCCTTACCATACAAATACCTGCGGAACTTTTGAACTGCCCAGATTATCGCATAGCACTCTTTCTCGATTGTAGAGTAATTTACCTGACATTTGGAAAGTTTCTTGCTAGCGTATGCAACAGGTTTCTTCACACCATCTTCGTACTGCATCAAAACTGCCCCAACACCACGATCTGACGCATCAGTTTGTAAAACAAAGCTTTCATTCAAATTAGGTAATTTGAGAACTGGTGTTACCGTTAAAGCTGTCTTGAGAGTGATGAACGCATTTTCCTGCGGTTCTTTCCAAATCACTTTGTTCGGCTGGCCTTTCCTGGTAAGATATGTTAAAGGCGAAGCAATAGCTGAAAAATTCGGAATGAATTTACGATAAAATCCTACCAGACCTAAAAATGATCGCACTTGTTTCTTTGTTGAAGGTTGGGTAAAGTTGTGAATGGCGGAAACTTTGTCAGGAAGAGGTCTAAGTTTTTCATTTCCTGCAATATGTCCGAGACACTCAAGTCTCCGGTAACCAATAAAACACTTACTTGGTTTCACAGTCCAATTCGCCTCACGAAGTCTTTTCAAAAGTTCCCGAATCACACTGACATGTTCCTGAAATGTTCGAGTGTACATAATCACATCGTCTATAAAGTTATCCACACACTGCATTCCATCTAAGAGCTTACGCATCAGGCGACTGAAACTTGCGGAAGCGTTTATCAAGCCAAAGGGCATCAACCTGAATTGAAAAAGACCAAGTGGCGTCTGGAAAGCGGTGATCTCCTTTGCTGCAATCCAATGATAGCTGCCAGTATCCCTTAGATAAATCAAATTTGGACACATATTTACAGCCAGATAATTGCACATAAATATCATCAGCATTTGGAATGGTTTCTGCATCGAAAACAGTTACTTTATTAATTGCACGAAAATCGATACAAAACCTGTTCGAACCGTCCTTCTTTTTCACGATGACTATCGGGGAACTGTATGGACTCGTCGAAGGCTCGATCACATCGGCTTCCACCATCTTCCTTACCTCGTCACAAACAACGTCTTTTGAAGTAAACGGCAGAGGATAAGGCTTAGTGCGATTAGGCTGGTCACTAGTCAACTTGATATGATGAACTCCGAGATTCGTCAAACCAGGTACATCTGATAAAACATCTGAAAAATCCTCTAGTAATGTCTTGACTTCTGCTTTTTCATTCTCAGATAGTTCATCACTTACTTTCACATCTGCCGGTCCCTCCTTTTTCGTTTCTCCTGGAGAATCACACAACAGCTCATCGTCGCTTCCTCCATCATCATCTAGATCGAGTACTGCGGCGCCTACAACACCTAGAACACCTGTCTCATCATTACTCTCGTTTTCTCTGTCAATGTACAACTTCAACATATTTGCATGAAATGTTTTGATTTTTCCATTCACGTTAATTCTGTAATCAACTTTTCCTAGTCTCTCTATAATTTCATATGGACCTTTCCATTGCATTTGTAATTTGTTACTTGCAGTTGGTAAAAGAATAAGAACTTTCTCACCTTTTGACATTTGTCTGTTCCGCGCTCCCTTGTTGTAATACTTCCGGTATTTCTCTGACGACTTCTGTAGATTCTCTCTCGCTAATCTGCACGTAGCTTCTAGTCGTTCCTTCAAATCAACAACATACTGGTATGTAGTTCTAACCTCTGAATCTGCTACTTCTTTAGTCCACAACTCTCTCAAAATCTTCATAGGTCCTCTAACTTCGTGTCCGTAAACCAATTCAAACGGTGAGAATCCTAGACTCTCCTGTGGTGCATCACGGTAAGCAAACAATGAGGCTGATAGATACTTATCCCAATCAGTAGGACGTTCCGCACATAACCGTCGGAGTATCTGCTTCAATGTACCGTTGAACCGCTCGACCAGTCCATTGCACATGGGATGGTACGGTGCCGTTGTTAACTGTCGTATAGAAAGTAAACGACTAACCTCTGTCATCAGCTCGGATGTAAATTGTGACCCCATATCCGTGAGCATTTCCTTTGGTACTCCTACTCTACAAAATACATCTACCAGAGCCTCAGCGACTCGTTCAGTGTCAATTCCTTTTAAAGCAATTGCCTCTGGATAACGGGTAGCAAAGTCAACAATAGTCAAAATGTAACGGTTACCCTTACTGGTTGCTGGCTGGATAGGTCCTACCAAGTCGACAGCTACACGTCTGAACGGTACCTCAATGATAGGCATATCTCCGAGTGGAACCTTTGTAGTCCTGCCTTTCGGAGTGGTCCGTTGACAGATGTCGCATGATCTGCAGAATCGACGTACATCCGCTTGAACTCCCGGCCAATAAAATTCTGCAAGGACTTTGCTGGCTGTCCTGGAAATACCTAGGTGACCTGTCATAATAGACTCATGAGCAAGCGAAAGAACTTTAGTTCTATATTTCTTTGGTACAACTAGCTGTGTAAAACGTTTACCATTCTGATGTTTATCTGACTGGAAGACACGATAAATGATACCTTTCTTACGAATGTAAGATACCTTGGAGTCGTCGTCTTGTCCTACCAAAGAGCGTATCTTGGTTAACGTCTCGTCTTTCTCCTGTGCTGCCTTGATGTCGTCAGGACATATATCAGCGTCGATAATTTCTGGAACATGAAGAGATTTAGTCTTCTTACCTTCCTTTTGAGCTTGTTGCCTTGTCACTACTGCATGTGCTTGATAAGGTTTCCAGTTTCTATCCGGATCCTTTGGATCTCTTGAGTTGGGGATGTTCCCGATGATCAAGGAATACAACGGATTCTCTAAACACCAAGCGTCTATTTCACCCACAAAGTAAGGAGTGTCTATTTTCACTCGCGCAACAGGTGCTTGAATTCTAGATCCGTCCGCCAGAACACAAATTCGGTGATTTCCTGTAAGCTGAACATTATCTATCAAATCCCTACGAACTACAACACCGTTTCAACCAGTGTCTCTAAGCACTGTCACAAAATGTTCATTTAACTTGCCCTCACATGTAGGCATATCTTCTAGAGATGCACTAACGTTACAAGATGAAGTGTTTACAAGGTCCATCGAACTTGACGTCATCGAAAATGTTGATGTGTTTGTAAAAGAAGTAAAAGTTCCACACTTGCCTTGTAATTCTGAGTTCTTTGCCGTAGATTCCTTTTCTGTACGATCGACGACAACATTCACTGAGTTCCGGTTCTTCCGAGTCTGGTGGCACTGAGACGCTATGTGGCCCAGTCTGTCACACTTGAAGCAACGAACTTCTTTCTTCATTGGAGTTTTCATGGGTTGAAACTTCAATCCTGGCTTCTGATCTCGCTGTTCCTGTTCTCCCGATGCCTGACTTTTTCCTGGAGAGTTCTCTTTCTTGCTAAAATGAACTAATGTCTGAATGTTAACATGCCTTGCCTCTCTAAACTGATCTGCTAAATCACACATTTCTCTGATGTTTTTCGGTATGCGTTCTTTCAAAAACAATGTCAATTCTTTGTTACACATAAACAGAAATTGATCTCTGAGTATCATATCGTAGAGGCCATCAAAAGTCTTGTTAACTCGACCAAGTTCAATCCACCTATCGAGATAACTACCGAGACGAACAACAAACTGTGAAAAAGATTCCCCTACCTCAGGTCTGCTCTTACGGAACTTTTGACGAAATCCATCCTCCGTCTTTTCAAACCTTTTTAGTAACGCCGTCTTCAAAGCATCATAGTCCAACGCTTTCTCCTGCGGCAACAGTGCATACACATCCAGTGTACGACCTCTGAGTAGTGCGCTCAAGTTAACAGCCCAACTGTCAAACTTCCATTTCTGTGCTGCAGCATACCTTTCAAAACGTCTCAAATAAGAATCAATATCATCCTTAACTTCATCAAATACAGGCATTTTTGGAAACTTTGCATTACTAGAATTTTCTAATTTCGTTTCTGACTCCTTTACAGCTAACTTTTGCTCTAATGTTTGAATAGTTTGCATGAATTTACTCTCAATCTCTTCCATACCTTTCTTTTCCTGTAGTTTGAGTTTCTCAATTTCAAGTGCTTCTTTACTGAGATGATACTCCCTATCCTGCTTCTCTTTCTCCCGTTCAGCTGCTCGTAGCTCACGCTGATGTGCCTGTTGTTGCTGTATAAACTGCTGCAAGTCCGCACCAGTCAAGTTCAGACTCTGTCCATATTCTGCAAGTTCTTTCAATGTCGACATTGTAATAGAACTAAACACTAACCGACTAAATATGAAAAATATTACTACAAACCAGTAAAACAACATTGATTTTCAAAACAAAAATGAAATCTGAAAAATCTTTCTCAAAAATGCGTATACTAGTATCTCAACAGATAAATTAAGTATACAAACTCAATTCATACGAAACAAAGCAGCAGTAACCTAGCTTTCTCCATTTGGGGCTCCATAAATAAACCAAGTACTTACACCCTGAGACTGTCAAAAATCTACAAAATCTTTCACTGCAAAATACAACAAAAATGATTAAACAAAAAATAGCATAATTGTAATATACAAAAATACTCCTGACTGAACAGACTAATCCCACTTCTGACACCAATTTGTCACGACAGCCGTCGTGCTCTGTCCAGTCAGACACAACAAGATTTTTTTCTATGTACAATTTTTTTTATCTATATATATAAAATCAATAAAAACAATATTCACAACATATTTTTAAAGATATTATTTACAATAAATAAAACTTAAAGTCTCTTATAATCCTCAATAGCATCCTAGTGTTGGCTCAGAACCACGTCCACGCAGACACGCCCCGTTTCACGACGGACTCCCGCCAACTGGCTCCCAGTGGGTATCCCGGTCTGGTTAAGGTCGTCACCAACACACACATGGCTAGATCATAATTGGATTACATCAGGAACCTTTAAATTAAATAACATTTTTAAGTCACAGGTTACGTATACAAAAAGAAAACTCAAGTCACCATTGACTACAATTTCACTAATGGCACACCATACAAGAGTATCGGTATTTCTAACCAAACACTGTCAAATACAAAGACAACGTTAAGAATATTTACAATATCTTAACAAAAGTGGTTTTAACAATTAAACCCACAACACCGACTTTATAAGCGGCAAAACAAAATAGCCTATGTGCGTACATAACATCGTACATTGCACCAGAAATAGAACAATAAACGCATGAGTAACTCTACCCAGCAAAACCTGTATACGTAAATAGTAACAAAAACATTACTTAACTCAAGTTCTTAAATAGTTCTACGTTTTAAATGTATTACTCAAAAACTTACATATAAAATAAAAAAACAAACTTACCCCTTATGGAGAAATGGTTACCGTTGAAAAAGTATTTATCTACTCATCTTGGACTGTACGTCAAGCTTGTAAATCTATGAAAACGTGGACCCCGGCTACTTGGTCAGCTATGCAGGGATTTAAATACCTCCTAATACAATAGGTCGTAACTGACCAATACCTGCAAAACTTAACTGAGGTTCAATGAGGTAACAAAAGTATAGAGGTCCAGTAAAGGGTAAATAAAATAAAAACCATAAACATAATGTAAATACAAGTAAAATTAAATATTAATTGTGACAGTATACTTTCCTTTATGATAGAGAAAAAATTCCTAGTTTGTACTGATACATGCAGGCAAAGTTGTTGAATACAAGACGTTTAATTCCATCAATCTATGAGTATAACTGCTAGGAAATCAAAATTTCATTATGAAGTCTCTCTTTTAATTTTTTTATGTGAAATGTGAAGATAACAAACATTAATCAAATTAAAAAATACACGTTTGGGACAGAAAACACAAATTAAAAAAAAAAAAAAAAACTAAAAATTGGGATAACGTCCTTTGTCTCTGTCCCTTGTATTATCCCCCTGTCTTCTGCCATTTGTGGTCTATAGGAAGATATATATTGACATTACTGTGAGACACTTGTGTAAAATTATAGCATATTTAAATTAACTGGAGTTATACCTTTAATATAGCTTTAATTCGCATTAATTAATACTCTGAATTTTCTGGATTATAGTTTTAATATTTTTCATTTATAAACAACAACATTGCCACTTTTCAAACACAATAACGACGTTCAGAATTTCCCAACGTTATATAGCAAAGCACAACAAGAAATGATTCTTTTAACAGCTTGATTAGAAATATCGCAGATCCTAACTGTCAACAAACAAATCAAATTACAATGCTTTGAGTCTCCCATAATATGGACAATAGGCATACCTCGTCATACCTCATCATTCTGACAAAATCTTTCATGAAAGTTACAATAATGCTGAATACTTTTTATATTAGGATTCATTTCTCAAACATGGAACATAGTAACGTATCAAACCGTACAAAACTAGGCAAAATTATGAGTTTAATGATATGTTATGAACATATCTGCACGATCCATTTCAGTGATCAATTGAAATGATTGGTTTATTGCTTAACTGTACATACACGTTTTCTCCATCGAGCATTAAAAAAAAACGATAGGGTTGTATTAAAGTATCCTGTGATGGTGAAGTATTAAAACAGTCGGAAACAAAATCTGCACTCGTCTGTAAAACAGGAAAACCGTGCTTGAATTGTATTAGCAGCAACAGAAGGTTAGGCAAAATACCATGATGGACGTAAGAAAGTACACCTGACCTTTTTTTCATCTTACAGCGAGTTCATTGTGCATATTGACTTTCAAAAGTGAACATTTTACCCCAAGAAAAACAGAGGGGAAATGCAATAGCAGGTAGGAACATTTTTTTTGTTAAAAATCTTCTTGGAATGATCCTTGATCCTGGAGTATTGTTGAATATGAAAAACTGACATTTCTGTAATGATATAACATAAGGTTCTTGACACAACTGCTTGTAGACAACAACAATATTTTACTTTACTAAGTGAACATTTCCCCCAAAGAAAATCAGAGAGGAAAATGCAATAGCTGGTAGGAAAATTTATTCTATTACATATTTTATTGAAAAGATTGTTGATCCTGTATAATTGTATACGATCTTAAACTAAAATGCCTGTAATGTTATGGTTCTTGACACAGATGTTTATAGACAGAACCCACCCCTCTTCTTTACACACTAACAGGAATCTTATTCCTGAGAATTTTTATTTATAATATCCCAATGGAATGTAATTCCAGATTTTGAATCCTTTATTTCAAAAGTTTGTCTGTTTAGACTTGGCATCTGTTATGTTTTTTTTTAAAACATTGAACATATTTTTCTTAAGTTAATAAAGGAAGCTGATAGAGTCAGCTTTCAATTTTTTAAAGTTAAAAACGAACCTTTAAAGTCATTGATAGAGTAGGCTTTTAATTTTTTAAAGTTAAAAATGATACTTTAAAGTCATTTAACTTAGTTTTTTTCATTTCAATTGTTTGTACACCTGACATAAAAAAAGGTCATCTTAACAAAAATATTTGTTTGCCCCCCTCCCGACCTACTGGCTAAACGTTTTAAAGATAGCTGTCTCAGTACCTTTTTAAACTTGAAGAAACGGTAATTACATGTATCTTCTTTTTTATCCCATCAACAAGAATATTGAAATTTCTGGAATAAGAATTCCTATCTACTTGATTCTTCCGACCCTCATTTTTACCCCGGATTCTCGAGAATTTTTCACTCATGTAGAGACGCCACCGCTTGCTGTTGGAGATAGCTGCAAATATTTTGTACTATATTCGGCACTAACGGTCAAATAGCAGTGATGAATCTCTTTCGTGCCAGCACCTGCTGTGACAGGACCTAGTATTATACCGTCTCATCCGAGGGAGCGGTCTTAATGTCCCACAGTGAGATACAAACACCCAATACACTGGACAAAATTGCTAACACACCACCTAAAAAAAATTAAAATTCATACCCTAAAAAGTTGTTTTAGTTGTATTTAATATTTAAATAGGCGACCTTAGTTATAAGTTAGACATTTAAAAACCCAAACGAATTAATAGATGCAATGTTAACTGAAGCGTAGCTGTTCTATAGAAATGCTTAAAAATCGTGCTCACGCTGTTTGGAAGAATAAATCTTTACTTTCTTTTCTGTGTTCTTATTATTGATACATGCATTCATAAAAACTCACAAATAAACCGACGGGGTATGCGGCGTTTGACCACAGAAGAGCGTGGCAGGGCAGTTGGTATGGTCTCTGCAGGATGTTCCTTCAGAGAGGTAAGTTAAAATGTAAATAATTTAACGATTGCCTATGATATTGGCTGAAACATGATTCAGCAAGCTTATTTAATGCCAAAAATGTCTTTCTAGGTAGCCACAGTGTTTAATAGGCACCACACATCAATTGCAAGGATGACCGGAAATTCGTGCAAACCAGAAGTGTGGGGGACCGAGCAAGAATTCCAAAGCGCCGGGTAACTACTAGGGGACAAGACAGACCCATCGCATTATCTCACTTGAAAGACAGAAGCACCACGGCTGTTGCAACATCAACGATTATCATTGGTAACCATCAACGCAACATCAGTGCGCAAACAGTGCGAAATCGGCTTAGAGAGGTTGGTTTGCGGGCTAGACGGCCATTTGTTGGTGTTGTATTGACTCGAAGACATCGACAGATCCGCCTGCAGTGGGCAAGACGGCATTTGAGATTTACTCGAGCTGATTGGGCAAATGTCTTACTTATCGATGAAACAAGGTTCAAATTACGGCGTTCGGATGGAAGATTGAGAGTTTATCGCAGGAGAGGCGAAAGGTACACTGCACCTTGTGTTAAAGAAAAGGGACAATTTGGAGGAGGCTCTGTAATGATCTGGGCGGGAATTTCTTTACACACAAAGACTCAGGCGATAACTGTGAATCAAAATTTGAATGCTCAGAGATATCAGGATCTCATCATCAGGCCTTGTGTAGTACCACATGTGCAAGCAAATCGTGGGATGGTTTTTATGCAGGACAATGCTCCGTGACATACTGCAAGGACGACAAGAGAAATGCTGCAGAGGAACAACATCAGGGTTTTAGAATGGCTGCCGTGTAGTCCAGATCTTAACCCAATTTAGAATTTGTGGGACGAGGTGGATAGGCGAATTCGACGACTTCGTGCTGAACGAAATCTTGCAGAACTACAAAGGGACATTTTGAATGAGTGGGACAATGTGCCACAAAGACTTTTACATAATTACATCAATTCTATGAGGCAAAGATGCGTAGCTGTTATCCGAGCAAATGGAGGTCATACCAGATATTAAAGTGTGAAACTCATAATGGGGGTACCAATGTTTCATAAACTGTACGCAACTCAACTGT